GTATACGGGGTAAAATGGGAGTTCATAACCCGCTTGAATCAAAATGTGAAATATGATATATCAAGAACTATGTAATGTTTTGAACAACCAACAATAAAAAATAAAAATAAATTTAAAAAAAGAAAAGAAGCTAAAAAAAAAGAAAATTTTAAATTTTAAAAAATGTTCAGGTATGTTTGAAAAATTTAATGTAAATGTATAAAACGTGATGTCTTAATTTATTTTTGTATTGCAAAATAATTACCACAATCAAACTAATTAACATATAGCACCTCAGTGTTAACATTTTCATGGGTATGTGTGGTGAGAACACATTAGCAAATTTTGGATATAAGATACATAATTATTTACTGTAGTCACCATGCTATGCCTTACGTCTCCATACTTATTCACCTTGTAACTGAATGTTTGTTCCCTGGACCAAAATATCTCACCCCCCTTTTTTTTTCCACATCCCAGCCCCATTACTATACATTCATATCTTTTTGTTGTGTTTGTAAGATTCCACATGTGAGATCATTAGAAATTATATGTTAATAGTTAATTATCTCAAAACAAACCCCAATGTTATGTATAACTAGAATAAACTATGGAAAAAAAGAAAAAAGTTATCTACACTCCACATAATTAAACAAGCATTGAATGTGATTTGCTCTAATTTGTTCCCTAGTACTTTCCCTTTCCCTCTTTCCTCCCTCCCCCTGTTCTTTTCCCTTTATTCCACTGTTATTTCTTCTATTTATTTACAGATTTTTTTTTAAAGTAATGCCTTCTGGATATACATGAAGGTGAGATTGGTATTAAATTAAGGTAAGATACATTCAAACATTTTTCCCTTTTCCCATCCTTACTTCCTCCTCCTTAATCTCATTCCTCTGACTGACTGATCTCTCTTCTATTTTCATAGATTCCACCCTTTTCTTCTTTCCCCCTTATTTTGTACTAGCTTCTTCATATCAGAGAAAACATCTGACTTACGACTTTCTGCCTGTGGCTTACTTCATTTCACACAATTCTCTCCAGTTCCATCAATTCACCAGCAAATGCCATAATTTTATTCCTCTGTATGACTAATAATCTATTATATATATACAACATTTTCTTTTATTATTCATCTGGATACAGGCACATAGGTGGGTTTCATAGCTTGGCTATTGTGAATTGTGCTACTATAGCCATTGAAGTGGCTACATTTTTATAGTATGCTGATTCAAACATTTGGATATATACTGAAGAGTGGGATGTCTGATTCATATGGTCTTTCCATTTCTTGTATTTTGAAGAATCTACATTCTGCTTTCCACAGTGATTGCACTAAAGTTTGTAGTCCCATTAACATATGAGTGTACCTCTCCCCCAGATCCTCACCAAAATGTATTATTATTCATATTCTTGWTAATGACCATTCTGACTAAAGTGAGATGGAATTTCAGTGTACATTCGCTTTGCATTTTCCTTATTGCTAGAGATGTTGAACATTGACAGACATATAAAAGCAATGGAAACATCAAGTCCACCAGGAATATTTGCTGTGCAGCAATCTCTTAATAATTTCTCCCATGAATATGTTTAAAAATAAGAATTAATTCACTTACCCTYTGCAAGCCACTGGAGGAACATGAGTATACTTACATTGCTTAAAGATCTGCCAATGTTTTTAGCATCTATTTGCAAGATATTTCCAAGAATTGGGAGAGGAGTGGGGCCTGGTGGGAGCTTCCTTCCCCCAGAGCTCTGTCTCCATAATGAAAAGAAAAGCAGACAACAGAGACTGAGCACCAGGATGACAGCTAGATCCATTGAAGTCTTCTCTTTTTACTGAAACAAATGTGAGCTTGCAATCAATATAAAGCTTTTATAGTTCTCACTCAATTAAAAATATGTCCTATTTACATATAAAATGCTGAGCCAGTCAACAAGAAAAATTCCATTCCCTCTGAGAATACATTTGTCACCTGATAAWGTTAAAACTAAACTGTTATTTACTTTTGCCCTGTTTCTCAAAACTGTTGACCATTCTGGGATAGAGCAGAGGAAGAGACAATGTACAGTAAACAAACAAATAAGGACACAACCCTCTGGTTATACCAGTGTGCAACTAGGATTAAGAAAAAAATGAAACATTTGATCAAATATATTGCTCAACATTCTGGATTCTCAGACTKATGACCCATTGGAAATTAATGACTTTGGGAAAATCCACTTTATCTCTGACTTTTGTACAGCAGTATTGAACTTGTGATACTTCATTAAACAACAGGATAGTTTGTGTTTGAAAATAAAGTCTTTTAAATAGTTTAAAGAATTGAACTAACATCACAACTGTCTGAACTAAAGTAAGTAGTATAATTTATACATTTTGAAAGACAAAATATATATCACTACTTAACTAAGAATATATACCTAGAATTTGTCATTTAGCCTATACTCTTCTTTCTCCCTAACCCCACCAAACCTGAAGGGCAGAAAACAGAGATCATTATTATTTTTTATTTGTCAAACAGGTTCAGGGAGATTCTGAAAAAACAGGAGACCATCATTTCACACAACTCACTGGGGGTAGACCAGAAATTTAAATGAACTCAGATGGCCATGGTGTACCATGGCTCACACCATAGCTGCCTAGAAAATCACATTAGAAAAGTGAATAAAAAGACCCCAAACACTACTCTGAATGTACACTGTATTGTGTTCATAGCCCAACAAGCTTCCCTTCAAACTAATACCCATTATTTCACTCCAAAGATAACTGAATTAGAGATTCTATAAAAGGAGGAGATGCAGATAGGGCTTATCTCCTCTCCATCAGTACAGGGGTGAAACTTTCTCCACAGAAATGAATACKAGCCAATTTCAGGGAATTGGAGGAKTAAGGCTTGAGAAACTGACAGATGTTCCCCAGTCACTTACACACGGAACTGTTTCTGTTGCTATTTACTACTTAMCTATCAGATGTGATGGGATGAAATATTGGATCACAAGCAATGATACTGGACATAGAAAAATAAGCATGTGCTTTGGAGGTGAATGGAAGCCAGGGACTACATCAAGACTCCCTGCACAGGAGGAATAMTATGCAAATCTAAATAGAATACTTTTGGTAGTCATGATTCAATACATCATTGGATTGATAKATACTACTAGATCAACAAATTGGTTAGCATAGTTACTTCTAAGSTATTTAGTAAAGAGAGCTAAGTTGTTGACATAAGATCATAGTTACAAAATGTTCAATTTCCATGTTTACAGAGATGCTGATGATGAACAAAAATTTTCACACCTATCATATCACTTTTAATTTTCTTAATTATATTTAGAAAGTAAAATTATTCCCATTGAGGAATGAGGAATCTGGGCCTCAGAGATTCCATGCCATGGCCAAGGGCACACAGATTGTAGATGGTAGTACTGAGACTGGACCTCATATACCCTGACTCTCTTAGACTTACCTCAAAAAAAAATCAAGCAAGTTCAATGTTTACCAAGTGTGTATTATTTTGCATTATTCCATGGTGACACTCATAAGTGACTTTGGAACTAGAAATTGATTTAATAATTGCAGCATTCATTGGTTAAAATGGTGGTCAGAAAAGTTTGATTTTTTTAACCTTTAGAATTTTCATTAACTCAGGTCTTGATGAAATCTWTATTCATATCAACACAAAGCAGTAACTTGCTGTGTGACTCACAGAGCTACAACCTCTAAACCAACCATCTCAGCCTCTAAAAACCAAAAAATACCACACATTTTTACTTTTAATAAAATAAATGTGATATCTGTCTTCAGTACTTTAGATTTATTATCAATAACATGAATTTTGGTACTCTCATACTTCATCCCATGAGGCTCCTGCCTGACCATTTTTCTTTTTATAGTAAGAGAGAATCACACAACATACCAAAATTTGGGGGTCACAGGAAAAGTAGCATTAAAAAATAAGGTTCTAACAATGGATTCCTACATAAATCAATTTCAAATATATAACAGAATAATGGATCTCAATAACCTAATAAAGTAAGAAGAAACAAAACCAAAAATTAATTGAAGGAAAGAAATAAAAAAGATCAGAGAAGAAATAAATAAAATAGAGACTTAAAAATCAATAAAAGTTTCTTTAAAAAGAAAAAACCAATAATCTATTAACTAGACTAGGAATAAAAAAGAGAAGAAATAAATAAATAAAATCAGATGAAATATGTAGACATTGTAGTTGATATCACAGAAATACAAAGATAATTAGAGAGTATTATGAAAATTATAAGCCTAATGGGATTGCTTAAATTTATGGACACATATAACCTCCCCAAATTGAGCAATAAGACATGAAAAACACAAACAGAGCAATAATGGGTATTGAAATTGAGTCAGTAATAAAGCATTTCCCAACAAATAAAAAGTTCAGGGTACAAAGGTTTCACTGCTGAATTCTAAAAAATTCTCACAGAAGAATCAATAACATTAGTCAAATTGTTCCAAATCATTGAAAAAGAGGCATTCTTCCAAACTCATTCCAAAAGGCCAGTACCATCCTRCTAAAGTGGGAATCAGGAAAAGTTTAATTTTTTTAATCTTTAGAACTTACATAAAGCAGCTCAAAATAAACTCTTTTCTTGGGTCAAACAGAAACAGTAACTTGCTTCTTGACTCACAAAACTCTGAAGTCCAAACCAACCAAGTCAGTCTTCAAACTCTGAATCATTACGTATAAAATGAATTAAACTTCTCTCTTTGTTCTATTTATTTAATTCACTATGAGTTGAATGTCTATAATCTCCTCCTAYAATCCTTGAGGCTCCTGCCTGAGCCTTTTCCTTACTGTAGAAAAAAGGAATCATACAACCTATCAAAAGATGGGATATAGAAATAGTAATACTAAAAATAAGGTTTATATTAATAAATGCCTGCATAAAAATTGGGGAAATTTTGAATAAATAATCTAAAGATACATATCAATGACCTGGTAAAATAATAGGAAACTAAACCTAAAAATAATAATAGCAATGGAATAAGAAATATCAGATCAAAAATAGATAAAATTAGAGAGAGAAGATGTGAGGGAAGGGGAGGGGGGATAGTAGGGGATAGGAAAGGTAGCAGAATACAACAATTACTAATAGGGCATTATGTAAAATTGTGGATGTGTAACTGAYGTGATTCTGCAATCTGCATTTGGGGAAAAATTGGGAGTTCATAACCCACTTCAATCTCTTGTATGAATATGATATGTCAAGAGCTTTGTAATGTTGTGAACAACCAATAAAAAAAAGAAAAATAAAAAAAGAAAAATCAGTGAGACAAAGTTTTTTAAAAATCATAGACAAAATTAACAAATATTTATCTAGACTAAGAAAAAAGAAAGAAGACAGAAATCAGTAAAATAAGACATAACAAAGAACAAATTATAATAAATACCACAGAAATACTAAAGAATACAAGAGATTTTTCCACATCTATGTGTCAAAATAGGGGAAAACTTAGAAGAAATAGAGAAATTTCTGAACACTTCTAATCTATGAAAATTTAATTATATTAAACCATAAAAAACACCAAAAATATCAGTAATGGGTATTAAAATTAAAACTAATAAAACATTTCCCAACAAATAAAGGTTCAATATTCAAAGATTTCATCTCTGAATTCTACCAAACTCTCASAGAAGAATTTTTTTTCCAAACAATTCTAAACAATTGAAACAGAGGGAACTCTTCCAGAATCATTCTTCAGGCCAGCAGCAACCTGATACTGAAACCATAAAAGAACACAACAAAAAACAAAACTACAGACTAATATCCCTGATGAAYATAGATGCAAATATTCACACACAAAAAACTTAGCAAATAAAAGCTAACACAACATCAAGAAGATCATTYGGGATAATGATATTGGATTTATTCAAGGGATGCATGGATGGTATTAAAGAGTGAAATCAATTAAATAAGACATCACATCAACAGAACAAAGGATAAAAAAAGCATTTCATAAAATTTAACATTACTTCATGATAAAAGCCCTGAGCAAATTAGCTACAGAAGGATTATACCTCAACATAATTAAGACTTTGTAAGGTAAAAACACTGTCAACATAAAAAAAATGGGTAAAACTTGAAAGCTTTTCCCCTAAATCTAGAACAAGGCAAGGGTGTGGGCTCTTATTGATTTTATTAAACATAAAAATTTTAGCCAGAGAAATAAGCTAGAAAAAGAAATATGGGGCATAAATTGGAAAGAAAGAAGTCCAAGTTATCCCTGTTTTCCATTACATAATCCTAAAAATAGAAAATTTTAAAGACTCCTCCAAATGTCTATTAGAATTGATAAGATAATAAGTAAATTTGAAGAMTACAATATCATTATGCAAAAATCAGTAGCAATTTAATAAACTATTAATATGATTTCTGAGAAAAAAATCATGAAAGGAATCCAATTCATAAAAGCTACAACAAAACAATAAAATAACTAGGAATAAATCTAAGAAAGTGAAATAAATACCTCTAAATTTTAAAACACATTGATGAAAGAAATTGAAGAGAGAGAGGGAGACAAAGAAAATAGAAATACCTCTCATCCTCATAAATTGGAAGAGTTAATCCTATTAAAAGTGCTATAAAACTTAAAGAAATTTAAGGAGTTAATACAATCCCCATGAGAATCCCAATGAAATTTTTTGTTGTTGTTGTTAAACTTCTTTATTTTTCCTCTCCTCCTTTGCAGTTGTAAACCACATATTCACTGATTTAAATACATTTCTCCTATATACAAGGATTTGAGTGTGGAAAAAACAGCATAAAATTCAAATGGA